CTACCTAAAGATTTTGGAACTTCTTAAACTGCAAGCAGACTCATAGCTAGAACAAGGAAATTTTTGTGCCCAGGTCTCTTCCGCAGTAATCCAAAGAATAATTGGAGTGTTTCATCTCACCATCTATCAAACCTCAAAAGGCTTTGCCAGCTACTAATTTTTATGGCTTCTTTAACAGGCTGTGCCAAAGCTTTCTTGACTTGCCACCAAGTCACACAGGAGTCCAAATAATAGTTACTGCTAAGACAGATTTCTCATGGTTTAAAAATGATATGCCATCCATCAAAACCAAGTTAATGGGGCAGCAATGCTTTTAAAAACCAGGCAAGCACTCGGAATTCATGTCTCTAGACACATCTCGTTCCTGATACGATTCTCAGATGGTCATTCCAGAAAGGTACAAATTCATCTGCTTTTTCATGTTCCTCCCGCTTTATCAGCTCTGCTTGAGTTTATTGCTGGCATAAAATACTCACAAAAAGAACCAAGAATGTTCCCCTTCTCCCTGGGGTATACTTCTGTTCCAATCTCCACAGAGATAATATTACTAAGACAGAATGAGGTAGGAGGAGCAGGTGAAATGAGAAACTAAGTGACTCTTGGTTAAAAGCCAAGCTGTTTTCAGAACATTTATCGGTGTGGTCACCAAGAATCAAAAATGACTTGGTGGCACATAGTTTATCAAAAGAAAAAAGAAAAAAAAATCAGAATGTCCCAAAATTTAGCCAACAAATAGCATCATTGTGTTTTTATGGCATCAGATGTGGTACTTAAGGATTGTTAATAGCAATAGCCTTAGCACTTCGACTTTTATACCGATCCATAGTGCTTTTACATCCCTGTTTAAGCAGTTTACAGAGTCATCCTGTGGCCCCCAACAATCTTGGTTTTCATTTTACCAACCTTGGGAGGATGGGAGGCTGAGTCAACCTTGAGCCTGTCAGGATCGAACCCCTGGCAGTCAGCAGAATTATCCTGCAATACTGCATTCTAACCACTGAGCCACCACAACTCCGGTGGAACATTGTAGAAAGCAGGACAATGGTAGCACACTGGTTGGAATGCAGTATTGCAGGCTAATTCTGCTGACGGCTAGGGGTTCGATCCCGACCGGCTGAAGGTTGACTCAGCCTCCCATCCTTCCGAGGTTGGTAAAATGAAAACCAAGATTGTTGGGGGCCACAGGATGACTCTGTAAACTGCTTAGAGAAGCACTGTGAAGTGCTATATAAGTCTAAGTCAGTGGTGGGATTCAATTTTTTTTACTACCGGATCTGTGGGTATGGCTTGGTGGGCGTGGCAGCGGAAGGATACTGTAAAATCTCCAGGCAGAGGTGGTATTTGCCAGTTCTCCAAACTACTCAAAATTTCTGGTACTGGTTCTCCAGAACTGGTCAGAACCTGCTGAATACCATCTCTGATCTAAGTGATATTTCTACTCTACTCTACTCTTATTCTTATTCTTATTCTTATTCTTATTCTTATTCTTATTCTGTTCTATTCTATTCTATTCTATTCTATTCTATTCTATTCTATTCTATTCTTTCCTTATTCTACTCTACTCTACTCCACTCCACTCTACTCTACTCCACTCCACTCCAATCCACTCTACTACTGTACTCTTATTCTTATTCTATTCTTCTTCCATTCTGTTCCGTTCCGTTCAATTCCATTCTATTCCATTTTAATTTTGCCCATTTCTTGCCACAGTTGTTAAGCGAATCACATAGTTGTTAAGCAAATCTGGCTTCCCCCACTGATTTCACTTGTCGAAAATTGGCTGGGAAGTTTGCAAATGTGGCCAAACAACCCCGGGACCCAGTGAATGGTCTTAAATACATGCTAGTTGCCAAGCATCCAAATTTTGATCACGTGACATGCTGCAACTGTGGTAAGAATGAGAAACAGTCATCTGTTATTTATTCCGTGCTGCTGCACCTTCAAACAGTCACTCAATGGACGGTTGCAAATCTAAGGACTGCACGTAGAACATGCGCATATATGTGATTTGAAGATGCTTACCTGTTAGGAGAATCGGGATCAAAGCAGGTTTTGGTGACATCCGTTATATCTGGGTTGCAGCAATCCCCGCCGTCGAAGTTGTACTTCTCCGAGTTGCAATCCATGTCACACATGCCATTCTGCTTCTTCCTGTTGAAGGAAAGCTGGCGCACATGGCGGCAATCTCCTCCATCAAACCCGGTCAACGTATGATTGCACTCTGGATCGCAGTTCTCATCTCCAATCTTGCTGATTTCGCAGTTGGCCAGGATGAGGCGGTCGCGAAGGGAGGAATCGTTGATCTCCAGCACCTCTATTTCCCACGAGATGTTGTACGGGCTGAAGGCCTCGTTCAGTTGCCGGTGCTGGAACTCTATTTGTTGCTGGCTGATGGTTGGGTTGCGATGATGGTCATCGTAAATGTTCACCACGCGGTAACGGACCACCTTCCTGTGACGGAAGGTCGGGATCCGGTTGTAGCTGGCGATGACCTCCACATTGTCGCAAACTGTTTGGCCGCAAAGAGGGGGCTCCAGGCTGGTATCCAACAGGTAGCCAGAGTGGGAGGTCAACTCGGTCAGAGGAAGACGTGGGCTATCTTTCATGGGAAGCCAGTTGCTTTTCACATTCAGCAAAGTCTCCTGAAACACTAGTTGAGGTAGAGGAACATCTACTTCATGGGCCACCAAAGTCATGTCCATCAGTATCTCCTTCTGAGAACGGACCGTTCTCCAAAGACTGAAATGCTCTATGTATCCTCGGTAGTTTTGGTGTCGGGCATTGCCGCCCAGCATAAGGATCTTACATTTCAAGGTCAAAGGGCTGAAGATACTCCCCACCTGTTCTCTGCTAGCCGCCACCTGGGCACCGTTCACGTACAACTTCATCAAGCGTCCATCGTAAGTGATGGCAAGGTGAACCCACTGATTCGGAAGGTAGCTGTGGTGATCTGTGATGGTGGTAACCTTCCGGGCACGGTCGGTCTTCAGTGAGAAAAAATAGCGAGGATCTCGATTACCTTGGTTGCTGACGTTGTTGATTCCCAAAACCCATCCTCGGTCCAGGGTGGTGTAAGAACATTTGTCGTATAATCCTAAGTGTCCCCAACACAAAAGAAAAAAAGAAAAGGAGAAAAGAATGAATAAGAGTGAGCATCACATCCAGAGGTCGTATTCAGCCAGTTCTGACTGGTTCTGGAGAACCGGTAGCGGAAATTTTGAGTAGTTCGGAGAACCGGCAAACGCCACCTCTGACTGGCTCCGCCCGCATCTGTTCTCTACCTCCCAAATCCCAGCTGATTGGCTGGGTCTTCTTTGGTTGCCCTCGACAGGAGAACGGAGCTGGAAAGCAGGTTCGTGGGGTGGGGAGGGAAGGAAAGGAATTGAAGTAACCTTCCCCCAGGAGTGAGGTGGAAATGGAGATTTTGCAGTATCCATCCCCTGCCACACCCACCAAGCCACACCACGCCCACAAGCCACGCCCACAGAACCACTAGTAAAAAAAATTGAATACCACCACTGATCACATCATGAACCAGAGGTTGTCAATCAGCCCTTGTTTTTCAGCATTACTTGAGCCCATCCATCATTCCAACATCCAGCAGAACATTCTCCAATGTCAGCATCACAAGAACACTCATTCGTGCCCCTTGAAATGTACGCATAATGCCAATTAATTCCACCAAATCCTCATTAGCGAAGGGTTCATTAGCAAAAAAAATTTAGAACCTTCCTAAAAATGGCCGTTCCTAGAATTCTTCTGTACATATCCGCGCAAGAGAAGGGAGGAATATAAGCTACTTATTTGTGCACAAGAGGTAGAAGACGTTTCGTTTCACGTAATCAAACGCTATATGAACAAACTACCACAAGTTTTGAACATTTTTCCGGAAAGAATTCCTGGGAACTGACTTGAGAATCTCTCACAAGGATGCATTTGCTTACAACTAGTTATACTGTTTAGTCCTCATCCAGACGGGTTTCGAAAACCTAAGAAATCTACTCACTTAGTGCTCTCTATACGCCAAACAATCATCATTTCTACCCTACACATCAAAAATCCAACACATCCCTTATCATGGTACAAGTTGGAAGGAGGTAGTAGAATACCAAAGGTATGGGACAGCAGGTTCTGACCAGTTCTGGAGAACTGGTAGCGGAAAATTTGAGTAGTTCAGATACCACCTCTGACTGGCCTCACCCCCATCTGTTCTCTGCGTCCCGAGTCCCAGCTGATCAGCTGGGTCTCCTTTGGTTGCCTTACACAGGAGAACGGAGCTGCAAAGCAGGTTAGGGAGGTGGGGAGGGAATGGGGATTTTGCAGTAACTTTCCCCGAGGAGTTGGGAAGGAATGGAGATTTTATGCTATCCTTCCCTTGCCACGCCCACCAAGCCACACCACACCCACCAAGCCCCACCACACAGAACCGGTAGTAAACAATTTGGAATCCCACCCCTGGTGTGGGAGGTAGGAGAATACCAAGAGGATGGGCCCCACTACACATAAACTTCTGCAATAGGAAGCAAACGTGGTCCACCACCTTGATTGTATGTGAAGGTAAGAAGGTACCGCACTGAGTCATCAGGAAGGACATCTATTTTGACCTCATGCTATCTGAACTGGCACCGATGCCTCTACTCCCTCTGCATCCCACACCTCTACGGACAAACGGAGAAACAGCTCTTTGGGGTGGTTGAACTGGGGGTGGGGGGTGTTTATCAGGTTCTCAAGACAAGAGGTTGCTCTACCATCACCGCTCTGATTTCGCTTCCAAAGATTCAGAGGCTCAACTTCCACAGGTTCTGCATGATCCCGTTCAGGGAAGACCTGCCTTCACGTCTTACAGCCTACTTTGCCGAAGCAAAGGAAATGGACAGCGGATGGGTCATATTTATAAATACACCCCCCTCCCTCTTCTGTATTTATAGAGGCCTGTGGAAATTTTTTAAAAAAGTGCCAGCTTTCTAATAATAGGGAGCTGGGTTTTTGTTTGTGGAAGAAACACTTAGCTGCGGTATTCCGTACTTACGGTTAACTTTGCCACAAACCCACTAAGTCTCATACACCGTTGAAATGAAGCCAAGATGCATCTCATTACAATAACGTCTCTAGGCTGTTTATACCAGCTTCCCTTTCCTTGTCTTATTTCTAAACTGGGTTGCAGCGTTTGCAAAATGCCATGCAACCACTGACTGGGTCATAATGATTATCAAATACCACCAGTGTTGTCTTCTTAAAGGACAACAGTCAAAACCTTGGCTCGCCTGAATGGCAATGGAATCCTTCTTCGGGGTCAAATCACAGATTGAAATGAAGGAAACAGTGAAGGAAAAACAATACATAAGACAGACAGAATAACAGAGTTGGAAGGGACCTTGCAGGTTATCTAGTCCAACCCCCGCCCAAGCAGAAGACCCTTCACCATTTCTAACAAATGGAAGTCCAATCTCTTCTTGAAAGTCTCAAGTGATGGTGCTCCCACAACTTCTGAAGGCAACTTCTGTTCCACTGGTTGATTGTTTTCACTGTCAGGAAATTCCTCCTTATTTTTAAGTTGAATTTCTTCTTGTTCACTTTCCATCCATTATTCCTTGTCTGGCCTTCAGGTACTTTAGAAAATAGCTTGTGTGGCAGCCCCTCAAATATTGGAAGACTGCTATCCTGTCTCCCCTGGTCCTTTTCTTTACTAGACTAGCCATGCCCAGTTCCTGCAACCCGTTCTTCATATGTTTTAGCCTCCAGTCTCCTAATCATCCTGGTTGCTCTTCTCTGCACTTTTTCTAGAGTCTCAACATCTTTTCTGAATTCTTTATTAGCCAAGTGTGATTGGACACACAAGGAATTTGTCTTGGTGCAAATGCTCTCAGTGTACATAAAATAAAATACATTCATCAAGAGTCAAGAATCATCAGGTACTTCACTTAGTCATGGAGTACAATAAACAATCAAATCATACTAGGAAACAGTCAATATAAATCATAAGGATATAAGCGACAAAGTTACAGCCATACAGTCACAAGTGGGAGGAGATGGGTGATAAGGAGTGATGAGAAGATTAGCAGTAATAGTAGTGTACACTTTGTAAATAGTTGGACAGTGTTGAGGGAATTATTTGTTTAGCAGAGTGACGGCGTTCGGGAAAAAACTGTCCTTGTGTCTAGTTGTTCTAGTGTGCAGTGCCCTATAGTGTTGTTTTGAGGGTAGGGGTTGAAACAGTTTGTGTCCAGGATGTGAGGGGCCTGCAAATATTTTTATAGGTTTTTTTTTATAGAAGCCACAACAACTAATGAACTCAAGCCAATGAACAGCTGAGAGGTGGCGCCCAAGTGAGAAGGGCTGGTGTGCATGATCTGGTGGGCTTCTCTATGAGATGTTGACTTGTACAAATGAGGGGGAAAGGGTGACGGAAACATGAGTGGCAGCTAAGAAGACGGAGAGGGACAGGACCCTGTTTCTATCAAACCTTCCAGAAAGAGAGGTCTGGGTGGAGATAGGCCACCGGTCCTGTTCTTCAGAGAAAAAAAACAAGGAGAGCTAATTTCCCTCCCCTGAGTAACTTCTGGAAGTTGTCATGGCTTTCATGGCTGGGATAATCCAACCCAAGGTGACAGGTCTTAGTTATGAAAGGGGAATTTCGGTCAACAATCAAAGCTGCAGTCAAGAGGCCCATGAATGGGGAGGGAAAAAAGTTGGAGCTCCGATCTCTCTCCTTTTGCATGCTTTAATCACTTAGTATCAAATTTGCCGCAGAATGCTTGAAAGAACGAACCTATCCGGAGCTTTCTTCTGGGCAGCGGAAAATAATCAAAACAGACAGATTTGGGTTAACTATTTCCATGGTGCATGCGACTGAATGAAGTTGGGGAAGACTGACCCAACGTATTACCAAAAGTCAACGGAGATTTCTTGGTCTGGTGGCGGCGGTTGGGCAGAGTTAGAAAGAACCCCAAAGAGCAGGGGAAACTTTGCACTGCTGGGCTGCCAAGAAAATTGCAGGAATGTGGGAAAGTTGCTTGGAAAAAAAATCACCTGCATTATTTTATTCATCAATCACTATCTAACCGAAGTTGCCTTCAGAAGTTGTGGGAGCTTCATCCCTGGAGGCTTTCAAGAAGAGATTGGATTGCCATTTGTCAGAAATGGTGTAGGGTCTCCTGCTTGGGCAGAGGGTTGGACTAGATGACCTACAAGGTCCCTTCTGACTCTTATCTGAATCCTAACCCCAAAAAAACCCCAACCAAAACAAAACCCAAAACTCTCCTATCTTTTTATTCCGAGTGAACCTGAAAACATTCAGAAGTTGTAACCATCAAGGGAAAGCTATTCAGCTTATTATTATTTTTTGCCCTTCTTGTTGGAAACGGAGAACCTTTATAGGTAGAAGGGAATCCATGTTTGACCACAGCTTTGAAGAATCCTGCCTTAATATTTTCAAAGTAGTTTTTATAAAGCTTATTAAGTACCGATAAAGGAGAATATTTGTAGCTCAGGGTTGAAATCAGGGGTTTCTTGGTGCTCTCTGGTTGTTTTCTTGGAGAAGTTTCATGACCCAAACTAGGTAACATCATCAGTGCTAAAAGGGAGTTGGGTTTGAAGGAGGAGGAGGAGGACCAGTAAAGAGAAGGACCAGGGGAGACATGATAGCAGTCTTCCAATATTTGAGGGGCTGCCACAGAGAGGAGGAGAGGGGTCAAGCTATTTTCTAAAACACCTGTAGGCCAGATAAGGAATAATGGATGGAAACTGAACAAGGAGAGATTTGATCTGGAAACAAGGAGAAACTTTCTGACAGTGAGAACTATCAACCAATGGAACAGAAGGTGCCCTTGGAAGTTGTGGGAGCTTCATCACTTGAGACTTTCAAGAAGAGATTGGACTGCCATTTGTCAGAAATGGTGTAGGGTCTCCTGGTTGGAGGGGTTGGACTAGATGACCTACAAGATCCCTTCCAACTCTGATTATTTGTATCTGTATCTGAGGAAAAGGAGGAGGAGGAAGAAAAGGAGGAGGAGGAGGAGGAGGAGGAGGAGGAGAAAGCACAAGATACATTTTAGCCCAACCGTATTTTTTAAAAAAAGGCAGAAAAAAATGGCAGAGAAAAGAGTGGAAGAACTTCAGTTAATAGGGGACATTTATATCTGGAAGATCTATATAAATTGAATTAAAAAATAAACCAATCTTGCAGGGGAAAAAGTCAACAAGGAAAAGGTGATATTTGGCAGAATGGCCAATTCATTCAAGAAACTGGAAAAATGCAATTTTGAAAGGGCCACGTCTGAAAACTCACATGAGAAGAAAATCAGGAAGAGAGAGAAGGAGGGAGGGAGGGGGAAAGATAGGAGGGAGGAAAGAAGGAAGGAAGGAAGGAAGGAAGGGAGGGAGGGAGGGAGGGAGGCAGGGAGGCGGAAAGATAGGAAGATAGGAAGGAGGGAGGAAAAAAGGAAGGAAGGGGGAAAAAGAAAGAAAGAAAGAAAGAAAGAAAGAAAGAAAGAAAGAAAGAAAAGGGCATACATTCACAACTGGGTTGGGGTAGAAGCATTTTTTAAAAGAAAGATCTTGCACAAAGTTAGAAAATTCATTTTCCACACCGGGGGGTGGGGGCAGTCAGAAAGAGACCAAATTCCCCCCAGAGAGAGGCTTCTGTGGGTAGGGGGCCACTGGTGTCTATCAAAGAGATTCCTATAATCAGAAGACTGCCTGAAATCCTGCAGGACCCCTGCTTTTCATATATACGAGGGGCTCCCAAAAAAAATCCCCTGAACTTGCTTCTTTCCCTTTTCAACTTTGAAGAAGGAGGAGGGGGCTGTTTATGAAACTTTTACTTGAAACTTCCGAGAAGAGATTGGACTCCCATCTTGTCAGAAATGGTGTAGGGTCTCTTGCTTGGGCAGGGGGGCTTGGACTAGATGACCTACAAGGTCCCTTCCGACTCTGATGATCTGTTCTGAGCCAGGCGATGGGACCCCCTCTCCATCCTGCAGTTGAACACCGCAAGCCCATTTCAATCCCCGTTTTCATTTGACGAAGCCAGCGGGGCTTCCTGGCGTTGGGAAGAAAAAACTTCGCCGTGAAGCCATTCCTGAGCCAGGAACACCAGGGAAAACATGTCCACAACATGATTTTATTTTTATTTTTTTAACAAGGCTGGTGGGAATACAAGAAGTTGAAGGCTAGACCAAAGGCAAGCCAGCGAGATCGTGCAACACACAAGAATCGTCGCAAAGGTCTCGCCCCCTGCCCCGCTGACAAAGGGGTCTCCCCAGCACTGCAGGTTGGCTCAGTTTCCCCCAGCAACAGTTGTAAATCTCACACTGTTTTCTTTCTGCTACTTTTTTTTCCACCCCACTGCTTGAAACACAGCTGCCTTTGGCCCGTCCTTCCTTCAAACTCCAGGATAATGGAAAGCAGAGCTTGGGGCTCAGGATACCTTATAGGATGCTGCATAAAAAAAAGGTTAGATACAGATAATCAGAGTTGGAAGGGATTTTGGAGGTCATCTAGTCCAACCCCCCGCCCAAGCGGGAGACCCTACACCATTTCTGACAAATGGCAGTCCAGTCTCTTCTTGAAGGTCTCAAGTGATGGAGCTCCCACAACTTGGTGACCCTGATCTAGAGGAGGAGCCACAGTAGAGAGAAAAATGGGGAAGGGAAGGCCAAGATGCTCTCATCTCAGTGCTCCCCTCCAAATAAATACAAGAACAATCCACTCCATCTATGACCATTTCTGCTGTATTTTATCCTTCCTATGTTTCAAAAGCATTCAGACCAGAATGGCACTGAAACAATAACTTTGTTTAATTATAGTTGCAGTTTAGGCCTGTACTAAAAATAAGTTTATGGCTCTCAGCAACGGAATGTGGAGGCCTATCGGCTGCATTTATTATGAATGAATGGCATATTGATTGGGTTATGCAATTCGGTTCCTTTTTACAACTAATGAATATCAGTTTTTCAAGATGATTAAGGGCCTGGAGGTTAAGACATACAAAGAACGGTTGCAGGAAGTGGGTATGAGGACCAGGGGAGACATGAGAGCAGTCTTCCAATATTTGAGGGGCTGCCCCAGAGAGGAGGAGGGGGTCAAGCTATTCTCCAAGGCAGGGGTCGCCAACCTTTTGGACCTCAGGGACCACCAAACTCATAATTTTAGATCCCAGGGACTACTAACAGGTTCTGTGGGCGTGGCCTAATTTGTGTGTGTGGCTTGGTGGTCATGTGACTGGCTGGGCATGGCGTGTATGTAAATATTATAAATATTTATATAAATATTGATTTTTTTAAAATTAAAAAAGAGCAACTTTTACCCAAAATCAGGAAAAGCAGACAGGCAGATTGAGTTGCTCACAGAATCACAGATTCATTCAGAGATCTATCTATCTGCCATCAGCTAGCTCAGTCTGTCACATAAAATTTGCTTGCAAGCAAACTCATAAAATTTTCTAGCAAGCAAACTCACAAAATTAACTCACAACACACCATATTGAGTTTTTTATTTAAAAAAAGAACAACTTTTACCCCAATTCAGGCAAAGCAGGCAGATTGAGTTGCTCACAGAATCATTCAGTGATCTATCTATTTGCCATGGGCTAGCTAAGTCTCCCAAATTTGCTTGCCGTGAGTCTGCACTGAATTTGCTTGCAAGCAAACCTTCAGTCCTAAGGGAGGTTCGGCTGTGCTGAGCCGAAGATCTAAAGACTAGCTAGAAAGCAAGAAATCCAACGATTTCCTGCTTTCTAGCTAATCTAAATCTCCCGGCACAGCAGAACAGCTGATGGTCGGAAAAAGGAAAAATAGCAATTTTAGCAGGCAAGTTTGCTGGGTAAGGAGTAAGTGGGCGGGGAGGGTTCCCGCGGGCCATGTGGATAGTGCAGCCTTGTGTTTCTGCGCAGCCTGGATTAATTGCTTTGGGGGGATGCTCTGGGGGTGAGATTTCTCTGCGGCCCACCAAAATTTTCTCACGGCCCACCTGTGGGCCACAACCCATGGGTGGTGACCGCTGCTCCAAGGCACCCAAAGGCCAGACAAGGAATAATGGATGGAAACTGACCAAGGAAATATTCAACCTGGAAATAAGGAGAAACTTTCTGACAGTGAGAGCAATCAAACGATGGAACTGAAGTTCCCTTTGAAAGTTGTGGGAGCTTCATCCCTGGAAGCTTTCAAGAAGAGACTGGACTGCCAGAAATGCCTGCTTGGGTGGCGGGGTTGGACTAGGTGACCTACAAGGTCCCTCCCAGTTCTATTCTTATTGATAGATTCAACCTAGAAATAAGGAGGAACTTTCTAACAGTGAGAACAATCCACCCCATGGAACAGAAGTTGCCTTCAGAAGTTGTGGGAGCTTCTTCCCTGGAGGCTTTGAAGAAGAGACTGGACTGCCACCTGTCAGAAATGGTGTAGGGTCTTCTGCTTGAGCAGGGGGTTGGACTAAATGACCTACAAGGTCCCTTCCAACTCTGTTATTCTGTTATATGCCTGTGACAGGTGGTATATAAAATTTGGAAGAAAGCCTCAGCCACGAGCAGACGTCGCATTCCTGATAATATCCCAGGCTTCAGAATGGACTGAATCTGATCCTGTTTTCATGGCCATTCATCTTATATCTCTGAAGGCTTTAGAGCTGAAATGTATGATCCCACCATGTGTGTTTGTGTGTGTGTGTGTGTGTGTGTGTGTGTGTGTGTGTGTGTGAGTGAGAGAGAGAGTAGGGGGTGGTGGTGAAGGGCAGCCTCAGGTTCCCAAAACCCTGATCTCAGAATGCCTTGCCTCCTCTCTGCAAACAGCTCGGTCTCAAGGCAACAAAGGAAGGTTGGGAGAGAAAAAAAAAATCAAAGTTATCAGATGCTTTCTCTTTGCTTTGTCAAGCTACTGGCAAACAGAGGACAACTTTTGCCGGGCAGGATATGGTGGGGGAGAGCGGAAAAAGAAACGGCATCAAGGACAGAAAGATAGAAAGAGAAGGGACCGAGAAGAGGACGATAAGGTAAGAAAAACAGCAAACAGGGAAAGCCAAGTCAACGATTCAGGTGTTTGCATCAGAAAACAGGATAAGAGCTCCAACCTCCACTGGCGAAAGGGGGAAACGCTTATCAGTTTTAGATTAAGCATTGCAACCTCTCTCCTTCTCTCTCTCTCTCTTTCCCCAAAGTTTCTTTGGTCTCAGAAACAAACAAACAAACAAAACAAAACCCACAATTCAGCTTCTGTTATCGCGCTGTTCCAAATTTTGCAAGGAAGGGCTTTGAGCCTTTGCTCTCACAGCAAGGTCACAAGCGTTTGGCCATTCTAGCCTGCGTTGCTCTCTGCGCACTCACCAGACCGGCCCATCGTGGAACAAACAAACAGCCTGACAATGCAGGAAGCTCCCCACCACCAGCACCTCTTTTGTCATTTGGGGATTGCATGCCAAGGGAAGGCAGGGAGGGGCAGAAACAAAGATCCTGATGAGCACTATCTGCTATTTGCTTTTTCTTGTTCCAGATCTCCATCATCTTTCAGTATCCTCACAGGGAGATGCTTGCAGGAACGAAAGAAGAAGATGTTTGCTAACATTTCCTCTTGCTTTGGAAACACGAGCGTATCTGTTATCAGTCTGCCTAAAGGGAGGCAGCTCAGGATGCTGCGTGTTGACAGTCCCAAACTCAGCAGCCTTCGAAAAGTCTTTCCTTCTACGCAGGAACAATAGTTGCATTGAGGTTTTAGAGGCTGGTTCGAGGAGCCTGCCCTGAACTCCTCCTTACCTTTCGTCTTGACCTCTGACACAACTTTGTTCTCCGCCGGGGGAATAAAACCTTCAGAAATCACAAGATGCTTCCTTCTTGAAGTGGCTCCCTAAGAGCCTTCAAGATGAGTTGGGAAGGAGCCTATGTGCGGTGCACACTTAGCAGGGCGCTAAGGAATCCCAGTCCCTTTTCTTTGGGTGAGCATGAATGGTTTGGTGAAACAATTGCGTGTTGGTTCGCTTGCTTGGTGGGAAGCAATTGAATTTGTTTTGTCTTGAGGTGGTTGGGGGTGGTTTTGGTAGCCCCTAAGAGGAGAAAAGAGACAAGGAGAACAAGAGGGGACACGGTGGCTCAGTGGCTAAGAAGCTGATCTTGTCGATCAGGAAGGTCGGCAGTTCCACGGTTCGAATCCCTAGCGCCACGTCATGGAGTGAGCTCCCGTTACTGGTCCCAGCTTCTGCCAACCTAGCAGTTCGAAAGCATGTAAGAAAAATGCAAGTAGAAAAATAGGGACCCCTTTGGTGGGAAGGGAACGGCGTTCCATGCGCTTTCGAAGGCATTTAGTCATGCCAGCCACATGACCACGGAGACGTCTTCGGACAGCGCTGACTCTTTGGCTTTGTAACAGAGAGGAGCACCACCTACTAGAGCCAGGAACGACTAGCATGTAGGGGAACCTTTACCTTTAAAAGGAGGAAGGCTGAATTGGAAACTAATCAAGGAGAGAAACCACCTAGAAATAAGGAGAAATTTCCTGACTGTGAGAACAATCAATGAGTGGAACGGCCTGCCTCCAGAAGCATCATTGGAAGTCTTCAAGTAAAGACTAGATAACTATTTACCCACAGGTCAGAAGTTGCCTTTAGAACTAAAAGAGGGCTACATTTAAAGATGAAGATCCTAAGCATATCCCAAAGATTGAAAAGCCTTCTTCATCTGCTTAACGTTCCCAAAACACCCAAAACATGCCTGAGAAGAACCTGCAGATGGATTTTCTGGAGAGCAGCCAGAAACATATCTCAGCAGCCAGCAAGTAGCATCTCCTTGGCTCAGGGGTCTTCAAACTTGACCGCTTTAAGACTTGTGGACTTCAACTCCCAGAATTTGTCCTCCGGGTCATGTTAGCTCAGGAATTCTGGGAGTTGAAGTCCACAAGTCTTAAACTTACCAGGTTTGAAGACCCTTGCGCTTAGCTAGAAAAGAGCTAGCGGCAAATCTGACTAGTGAATTAATCCATTCACTTGGCTTTCAAGATTCCTAAATTCAGCAAAGCGAGCCTTCTTGCACACCATGGGTTAAGACAAGGAGGAGGAGGAGGAGGAGGCAGCATTTAGCCCTAACCAAGATCAACATGGATCAAGTTTAGCATGTGGTGTGAACCCCACCACTGGTTCTTGAGCCGTGATGGCACAGTGGTTAGAATGCCGTATTGCAGGCTAATTCACTGCTCACTGCCTACAGTACGATTCTGACTGGCTCAAGGTTGACTCATCCTTCTGAGGTTGGTAAAACGAGTATCCCAGATTGTTGGGGGCAGGAGGCTGACTCTGTACTTCACTTAGAGAGGGCTGTAAAGCACTGTGAAGCGGTATATAAGTCTAAGTGCTATTGCTATTGCAGGCTAACTCTGCCCACTGCCAGCAGTTCAATCGTGACTGGCTCAGGGTTGACTCAGCCTTCTGTCCTTCCAAGGTGGGTACAATGAGGACCCAGATTGTTGGAGGCAACAGGCTGACACTGTAAACTGCTTAGAGAGGGATGTAAAAGCACTATGAAGCAGTATTGCAGGCTATTGCAGGCTAATTCTGCCTCACTGCCAGCAGTTCGATTGTGACTGGCTCAGGGTTGACTCAGCCTTCTGTCCTTCCAAGGTGGGTAAAATGAGGACCCAGATTGTTGGGGGGCAATAGGCTGATTTTGCAAGACGCCTTAGAGAGGGCTGTGAAGTGCTCTTGTTATTTAGCTCATGTAATTCCAAATGTTGTAGGGACCCAGGCACTGAACCTGAAACTTGGGGGGAGGTGTGGGGGGGAGCAAAGTTTGATCTCAGGCGCTGAGACAATTTGCCTAATTCATCCAGGATTCCCGCCGTCTCCATCCCCTTCGCCCGCTGCTCGGCTTTGCTACTAGAGACAGCAGCTGATATTCCCCAAAGTCACGCAGGAGTTGCAAAATAGCTGCGCTTGGGAGAGGAGACCGTGTGAAAATTGGCAGCCCCTCGCACCAAAGGCCACCTACCCTCAGAGACGAGGATGACCCAGAGCAACAAAGAGGCCCTCGTTTAATAGCATTGTAAAATTAACTGTTTGGAAAAGCAGGCGTACACCCACCCACGCACCACGAGCTGCAGCTGACGGTGATGTCAGGGCATTTCCATCTCGGAGGAGTGGACAGCAAGCTCGTAAAAGTTTCGAAAAGAGGGAGTTTTTTTCTTTTCTTTTCTTTTCTTTTCTTTTCTTTTCTTTTCTTTTCTTTTCTTTTCTTTGATCCGCTGTCACCTGGAACCAAGTTAAACCTTTCCCCCATTGCCTGTTTTGTTTCATTTGGCTTTCCTTTTTTTTTTTTTTTTTGGTAAAAAATTTATTTGGGTTTCCACAAAACATAATACAAATAAAATATCTTTTTGAGAACAGCATGATTCCAGGTTATCACTTCTCCATACAGACATAAACTCAATTACATATTCGTCTTTATATTCTGTATTCCATATCTTATAACTATTTTATCATTTTCTCAATAATTTTTTTCCCTTCCCTTACTTTCTTCAACCTTATTTTTAATTACCTCATTCCTTTCTACGTTCCATTACATATCTTTTTCTAAGTTTCGGTATCTTTCCAATCGTTATATTTATACTTTTGTCTGTCCTGTTTACAATTTCATATTTTCTTTTCTCATCATCATCCCAGAAGGGAAAGAAAAACAATTCCCTCCCCTTCCAGGCATTAAAAAGCAAGGTTTCCCCTGTAATTACTACATTTGGCTTTCCTTGAAAGAGGCTTCCAAGAATGGCCCCAACCTTTGAGACTGGATCCCAGGAGCTTTGGAAGGAGGAGATCTTTGCGGAAATGATGACCCATAATTTGCTCCGTAAGCCGGAGGAAGAAAGGTATGGGGAGTTTCCTCTAACTAGAGCAAACTTGAACCTTGCATTTCTTCAAAAACTTACGGTTGGGAGGGACCTTAGAGATCTTATAGTCCAACCCTCAGCCAAAAGCCGGAGACCCCTATATCAATTCAGACAAAAGGTTCTCCAATCTTGCATTTCTTCAAAACATAAGGTTGGGAGGGACTTTAGAGATCTTGTCCTCCAACCCTTGGCCTAAAGCAGAAGTCCCTATACCAAATCAGACAAATAGTTCTCCAACTTTTTTCTTGAAGGCCTCCAGTGATGGAGGCGCCTACAAATTCTGGGAGGTAAGCTGTTTGATTGATTCATTTTTCCCACTGTCAGGAAAGTTCTGCTTACTTCTTTCGAGGTTGGATCTCTCTCTGACGAGCTTCGACCCACCGCTTCTTCTCCTGACCTGAAGTGCTTTGGAGAAGAAGTCAATCTCCAAGGAATAATGGGTGGAAACTGAACGAGGAAAGAGATTCAAACTGGAAACGAGG